CATCGTATGTAGCCTGAAATGAAACTATCCAATTTCAGTATCCAATTAAGAATATCCTTGCTAACGGATTTGATTCTCCACGAGACTGGTTCATTTAACTTAAGTTGAATTAAACAAATCCGAGCCAGTAAATCAATTCGTTCCAAATTAATAGTTCGAAACATACATTGAATATAGTTAATCACAAGTATTTCGAATGAAATTAAATTTTGTTTTTGAAGGTACCGAACAATTCAGGAGAATATATGTAAATAGCCACTCTTTTCCCAATACCCACATTTCAAAGGTAAGAAATATGATGAAGGAATAACTGATAAACGAATATGAATATAATGAATAATATAAAGCCGACAAATGAATAAAGTGATACCTCTGGATTACCACCAATCCTTTCTGAATCGGAACGTTTGGTTTGCGTTCGACGGATCAATCGATGCTTGTCGTTCATTATCTTAAGTTTCAATCAACAGAAATCAAACCAATATTATTATTTCAACACTTCATTCATTTCCACACAAAGCAACTACCTTCAAATTGTGGAATAACAATGATTTTTTTTGTAATCTAAATATAACTGCTCACCTGCGTGATTTGTTTCAAAACAACTGATTCGAAACCACTGAAATTACTTTTTGCATTCTTTGCGGCACCAACTCCAACCAAACGTGTTCGTTCATCCCACTTTTTTAGCGTTGCATTCCTGCAAATATTTCTGATGGAATTATCAATTTTGGATACATTTTCTTCTCAAATACTTCCGATGTGAAGCTACTGGTTGTCTTGTTGCTTGAACAGATTCAACACTTGCTTCAGAATTACTTACTTCGAATAAGTCATTCGGTTAAAATGCGCATTCAAAAGAAACAAAAATTATGACCGATGAATGCCACTAAATAAAATCGCTAATTCTGCACCATACCTAAACTCCTCGAAACGTTTGTGTCTTCTGGCAAGTTCCGTCTCTGTGCGTTTCAATGCATGACGTCCTTTATGTTTCACTTCGTCAGCTCCATCTCTGAAATATCTCTCTCTGTCAGTGAGAAGTCATAACTTCCAGCATTCATCTCAAATGTCCGCTCATTCCAAAGATCTCCACAGAATCCTATGTCTGCTGAGAAGGACCAAAATACGGAAACAACAGAACTGACCCGCTCGCATTATCAGCAACTCCATTTCGATCATCCAGAGTACTTGCACCATCTTTTTCGGCATCTTCCCCTTCACTCTCATCCTCATTACTCAGTTCTTTCACGTCGTCCTGTGAACTCTCATCACCACTCGATTCTTCTTCCTTCTCGTCTGCTGAACTCGCGATTTCTTCATCTTCCGAATCGTCCATCCCTTAAGCCACCAGAATTTAGATCTGCTTTACCTCACAAACACCTTCAAAATTCCCTAGGCTTACTTACAACAACTCAAAAGCTTCTCACAGTTAATATTGACACTACGCAATCCTCATTTCACTCGATGATTTGACTCCAAAACCAACTTAATCTAGGCTTCTTTGGCGCTTCGCATTTCAAGCTTAACCTTCTCTCTCTGAACTGAATTAAAAACAAAACACTGGGCTAGACGCGTTTCATGCTCTAGTTTCGTTACATACGAA